AAAAACAAAAAAGACACCCTGTAGAGGAGCCGATCAGGTTCTATGCACTTTGCTCCCTAGTGACTCGAAACCCAACCTACTGGTTGGAGGCGGAGGCAGTGTTGTCAAAGGCGAAAAGCTATAAACTCACTCTAGTTCTGTTGGGGCTAGGTGATCAAGATCTCATGTCCATTAGCAATAGTATGATATAAGATGCAGCTTTGACACATAGTGACGGCATCCAGGTGATCCAGCAAATCAGGGATATTTGAATTCCCAAAATAATATTTATTAGTTCGTGCAACTTAATAACATTTTGTTGGGCAGAGTACCTGAACTAAGTGCCAAATTTAAAAAAATATAAAAAAATAAAAAAAATAAAAAAAGATTATACCCTATGTAGACACGCGAAACTTCAGGGGTATTTAGAACCTTCCCTAGTGACCACATCAATGCTCCATAAACCCTCATAAGCTGCAGTTGACACCAACAATTAAATCAAATTCTAGTGAAGTTCAGAAACAGGTGGAAATCATAAAGTAACCAAAATAATTTCCTGCCTTACTTGTTGAGTATCAACTTGGTCAGCCTTGTTCAAAACCACTCGTATCTTATCATCATGGCCTCGAAGAGACGCAATCACACGTTTGAATTCATCACTTATATCAAGTTTGTGGGGATCAAACAAAAGAAGAATGAGATCACACTTGGAAGCAAACCAAGATGTCACACCGGTAAAATCATAGCTCCTTTGTGTTCGTTGCTTTTCGCCAGATAGAACTCCAGGAGTATCCACAAACGTGATGTGCTCCAACAGCTAACATAATAAAGAGGGAAAAGTTGGGAAAAAATGTCCAGAGTTTCATGAATTTTTGTGAAAGCTCTGATCATTTTATCTATGAGATGAAGAAGAAGCATAACTCACAGGATGAGGCATTTGAGAACACTCAAATTTTGACAAAAAAGCAGTTCCAAAAGTTGTCAGACCGCTAAATGGCATATCTGCCTGAACAGCAATTGTGTTCCCCGGAATACTCCTTTCATCAGGCCCATTCTGCATAATACAGTCAAACCCGATCACCAATCCTACAAAAGATTTACCATAACAATCATATTTGAGAAAGCCATTAACAAACATGCATGGCATTGGTATAGCCTTCTCCTTTCCAACTAAATGTCTTGGTTTATAACTAGAAAAACTGTGGCAAAATATTCTCATTGATATGATAAATAGAAATATGTGCTAGGACAGAAAGGTTAAAAGATATATCCGCAATAAGATAAACATAATAAATTGAAAAGCCATCTTTGTCAAGTTAGTGCACACTATTTTTGGCACAATTTCAGATAGAAAGAAAGGCATTCAACTCAGGGAGAAAGCGTAAGTTCTCTTTTTGTTCAGCAACATAATCCAAAAAGGACATTAAATAAGTGACCACAATGGTGAGCAGAACAAAAGATAAGTGAAATACCATGAAAACGACAAATCTGTCTAATAAAGTTAAATGAAAATACCATGACAACCACAAATCTGTCTGTGGTAGGCTCAGGCCCGATATGAGCACCTATAGACAACAAGGAGCAAAGTATCAACACAAAGCTATGAATGCACAAAGAAGAGCATATACACAAGAATAAAGAGTTTAGCTAACCTGGATAGCTAGTTCTAAGTAAATGCTTAATGAATGTTGTTTTTCCGGTTGAGTATTGACCCAAAAGCATAACCATTGGTTTGGCATCAAAATCACTATTTGTCTACCAACACACAGCACATTAAGGAAAGCAGTCAGTGGTTTCTGTGCCGCTTTTCCATAAATCAGTACAAAGAAAACCATAGTTGAATGGAAGACATATAAGCGAGAAGCTTCTTTTTCATGAAAATAAGCACAACAATTATGAAATAAATCACCTACCAAGAATGGAGAGACGAAATCATTAAAGCGATATGCGACTTCCAGTGGCTTTAGTTTTTGGATGTATAACTTCTTCAGTCCATCGATTATGGATGTGACAGAGGTTAAAGAGACCTGAGGGTTGATAAAAAGAACCAGGCCTCATTGAAGAGCAAACATAGAAAATTTAGCAATAAACACGCAATGATGTGCTATAGGATGTATTAGGGGGAGTTAAAGAAAAGTACATTTTCTCTTTTGATAAGGTAAGGAAAGTACATTTCAACAATTAGTTCACAACATCAAAACAACTATCTCATTAATGGGAAAGGACAAAAGATGCTTATTAACAAATTGACTTGAAGGGAGAATATTTGATATGATTTAAATTTGAGATAGCTAAATGAATTTATATGAGTAAGTTGTGAAAGTTATATAAAGAAGTATTACATAAGAAGTGTGTCAATCATTTTAAGAGCTCCCTATAAGAATATCTGTCGTAAATCTGTCATATAATTTGGGATGGAGAGAGCAAGTGGCAGGTATTCCAAGTTGCATGAAGTCTCTCACCTTCTTTACAGATGTTGATGATGAAAACCAATTAGCTGTAACGGAAGATTGCGCTGTAGGATTGCCTGCTTTGTAATCCAATCAGTTAGACTCGGAGATCTATCTAACTCCCTTCTCAATTTCCCAAGAATTACTAAGAACAAAGATATAAGAATATGATAAGTAAAATTACCATTCTGTTCAGGTTCACTTTTAGGCGTGCGCTTTTTCTTCTGTATTATAAAAATATAAGTCAACAGCCCCACAATTAATGAAAACTAATGCAAAAAGTAAATCTAACATACTTACAGCTTGAAGTACATCAAGACCTTCCAAGGTAGGGGGTTGCAAATTTTCAAAGTTAACTGCCATGATTAAAATTGTTCTAATTGTAAGATTAGGATATGACACAATGCTACAGCAAAAGAAAGTGAATACAGGGCATTGAAATGGATCAACTAGTTTGCCAGAGACCGCATTGTGGAGACTACTGGCGTTGCTAGCTTAAAGTTTTGAATCAAAAAGTTTATAAAGTATGCTAGTTACCTTCAGCATTTAAGAGATCACCGGTTACTGGATGGCCAGCTTGAGCCAAAGAGACCAACTATATTTAAAAAAAAAAATAAGGAATCTGAGTCTTCGCTGGATTAAAAGTAAATACCAAGTTGAAATGCGACTCCATAATAAACTGGTACCTGCATTGAAGTAATAAACTCTCTAAAACCAAGAAAGCCTTGCCGTTTGGAATCTGCAATCGCCCACACCTTAGGAAAAGAAGAAAAGAAAAATAATTTATTGAAACAAAAATAGCTATTACACAAGAATTACCAAAACTGGCACAAAAGAATGGATAAATCTGATTTTGGTAATAGCTATTAAATGCATAATCATAGTAGTACTAGGTGGAAACTGACACGTGATAAAACTTAGTAGCACGGGGTGGACAAAAATACAATGCTACTGCAAATAGTCCGTGGATATTTGGCATAATCCACATAACACTCTAAAAGTAATAAAAAGAGCAAGCATCTGTTTGTTTTGTTGGCATAGGAGGGTTTACTTTGCCATCCAATTCTTTTGGGCTTGTCACCATCCAAATTTAGTTCCACTTATCACTGTGCTTGCCAAATTATACACACTTTATCCACTGGTCAGTTCTGTTTTTTTTTTCACTGGTCAGTTCTGTTCACTATTCATCGCGAAATGTTAACATGAATTGCAAATGATTAGCGAAGGTCCAATAATCAGAATTACCCACTTAACAGGACCAGCTTATCCACGTGTTTCATCCTCCATTCGCCTTTCAGATCGGAGTTACTCTTATTAGTTGTAAAGATGAAATTCACACAAATACTTTCCACCGTCTACTGCAAGAGGTTCACCACTTTGAAAAAATCAGATGTCAAAGCACAACGCTCAAGTTCATCATCCCAAGCCCAATTAGTCAAAATATCAATCAATCAATTGTTCTTCAATTTCAAACTAGTTGGGGTCGACTAACGTAAGCGGACAATAACAACTAGTTCAAATCTTGAGTAGTTTACATCGCCTATATGGATCCTTTGCTCTTGTTATGTTCTGCTCTTAGCTACATCAATACTGTTTCGGAGATTGTATGGCTTTTGAGATAACTTCCTTTAATGTTATTTTATCTCTACTTCATCCATTTTATCAACTCCAGTCATCATAATGCACCTATATGCTTCATGTCAAGTCTACGTAGGATATGGTCAAATCATTTCATGCAACCTTCTCTCATTCAGCCTTTTACGCATTCTACTTATATCTTTGTTAGATGTGATCATCTTTTAATCTTGTATGACTATGCATCCATTTTAATATTTGCATTTTTAAGACGCTCATCTTGTGCATATGTGTGACCATAGAGATACACTCACTCTAATATAACATCGTTGGTTTAAGCATTCTAATGGCTTTCACTTTGTGTAGGATTCCTACTATAGATTCACAGAAAATCTGGATGACGCGATGCTATGGAATAGTGGATTGGATTTGGTCTCAAAGGTAACTGAACAAAAATACCAGATATACATTCACGCAATGACATCACCTAAGAATCAGAGAAAAAATGCTCTAAGACCTACTTCAACACAATGCTTAAAGACTTACTCCACATCTACTTTCAGACATAAATGTGTCATTAGCCCCCAATAAAGCACGTAATGTGAACTGCCATCAAGGATCAGAAACAAGAAGTTGCATCATGAAAAGACAGCTTGTAATCTGGTTGACATCATTCAATTATGGTAAAGGCTTTACAAGGATTGAGTCAGTTACTAAACTGAAGAGAGAAGAACAGAAATCCTGGTGTTTACAACATGATCAATTAGAAGCACACTACTTTAAGAACTTATCCTCCACTTTGAACATTAACAATTAATAAGGCCTTAGTCGAGCTTATTATTGTACGGTGACCATTCAGGATAGAAGATTAGGTAACGGCAAATCATCCAGAGAACATCAGTCTAAATTTTATAAGAATTTAAACATGTAAAACCTGGCTTTGAAGGGACTACAACTAATGAGCCATACTCGAGTATCAAAAACTGTCACTCTAAGCCATTCTCTGCACCAGCAAAAGAATGAAAGGTGGATGGAACAGAATGTGAAAACACGCTAAACTTTGGTGTTCTCTATCTCCCGCTAAATTTGTTTGGCAGAAAGGAGTAAGCAACATAATTAATTTTTCCCATTTGCTTCAGCTTTTGGGGCAGAGTTACTCTATATCTGTCGAAAAGTAGCAACTGGTAACCTATTATTAGTCAATGTACTCTAGCTCGACACTGTCATCTAAAAATTACTTCATCCATTCCAGTTTATGTAAAATTGTTTCCTTATTCTATATTTGAAAACAATTAACTTTATACATTAATATTGTACCCTTGATAAGAAATATTTACGGCCACAACTTTCAAATGTTTTATATACATGCAAGTTTAAGATGACAAGCTTCAATGATTTAAACTATGTTGCATAAATTGGAAGAGAGGGAGGAAATAAAAAAGGAACGACAAATCCAGTTCAAAAGAAACACGCAGCCCAAAGTAGGAAAGAAAAGAGACCTGCTTGAGTTCCTGGCGTGGCAAATTGGACAAGGCAAAGAACTTAATGGCATCGCCTCCAGTGAGACGTCCATCTCCATCTGATACAAAATACCCCAAATTCGCGTTTTCAGCATAAAATTCGTGAGTCGGATCCCATGGATAGAAAATGAGGAAAAGGGAAAATACCTGAATCGGCTAAGCTAAACCACTGTTGATAGATTTTCTCATGCTCTTTGGAGCAACGATTAATCGGAGAAGTATCAAACTCCATTTCTTCTATGGCTTTTCAAAAAAGCCTCCAATATCAGCGCCCTTCTTTTTAGGATCCGCTTTTTGTGTTTCTATTTTTCTTTTCCTTTTTTTCTTTTTTGAAGATATAAATTAGTTATAAATAGTGTATCATGTCTGTATTTTCAGAAAGAGTTTAAGTTTTTAGGTTAAAAAAAAATATTAACACACTCATATCATTTAAAAGTTTTGTCTAAATTAAATCCAGACACACAATGACACATAGAAAATAAAACTTACCCGTCTTGTAATCCAAATACCAAATGGGACTAAAGTAATGTTTCAATGTAGAATTTCTATATATTGCATCTTAAAGTTGTAAGATTATATTAAGTGGGCGCTTGGAGATAAGAATTGTGAAATTCTGAAAAACGTATTATATATATATATATATATAATATTAAATTGAAAATAATATTTAAAAATTAGAATTGTGTTTGGACATGAATACAATTTGGAGCTGATTTTGAATTTTTGTGAGTGCTTTGAAGTAAAAATTTTGAAAAATAACTTTTTGTAGTTTTTCAAATTCGGAAAAAATTCAAAATTAAACTTCAAGTGAAAATTTAAAATTTTTATGATCAAACATTGATTCCGAAAAAAAATAAAAATTTTCAAAAAAATAAACTTTTTATGGCCAAACGGCCCTAAATACTCACTACGACCATGTCCTTCCTTTTCCTTGCGACCCCTCCAAAAAACAAACAAGAGAGAGAAAAAAATCTTGTGTTATAAATCAACTTGCAGTATAAATGTCATATCAGATACAAATTGTAAAACCAACTATTTTTATTTATTAGCTGGGGCAAGAATTTCTTTAATGTAGAAACCTTTGCTTCTCCTTATGACACAAGAAAAGAAAAAGAAAGAGTTATATCATTTGCTCTTATTATTATCTCTGTTCATATTATTTTTGGTAATTACTTTGTTTTTACTATATTACTTTTCTTTTAGGACACTTTAAAATCATTACGTATTATGTAGTGTTTCCAGCTATTTGTTCTTTATTAAAATTGTTTTACTCCTATGCTACTCTACTATCTCTATATACGTCCCTTTTTTTGACATATGTTTAATTCTAACATATGTATATTTTTTCATATATATATATATATATATATATATATATATATATATATATATATATAATTCACTTAACTAAAACATGACGCTAGTCCTACTACGATTTTCATTGGGCGAAAATTATTTACAACTCCCAACTTTACTTCAAAAATCAAACCTCCTCCCTACACCTCCCTTCAACGTTGAATAATAGACATTTTCCCTCTTTATCCTACATAATGTCTATTTTGCTCTTGTTATTTGTAATGATCTGGCCGGTCGTTTTATGTATTTGAGTCTCGTTCTCCTATTTGAATGCTTCACGTATGTGTGTTTGTGATTTTGTGACTTGCGGAGTTGATTGATTTGGCTTCGGGAAGGTTTGAGAGTGAAATGAGACACTTAGTCTCATTTTGGAAGCTTAAGTTGTAAGAGTTTACTAAGTTTTGACTTTTGAGTAGACGACCTCGGATTGGAGTTTTGATGGTTCCAAAAGATTCGTACGGGAATTTTGGACTTAGGAGTATGTACAGAATTGGATTTGGACGTTCTTAGGGTATTTTGGCTCTATTTGCAGAAAGTTGGCAATTTGTAAGATTGGAGAGTTCATAGGTTTGACCGGAGGTTGGCTTTGATGATATCGGAGTCGGATTATTGTTCCGAAACTTGGTATAGGTTTGTTATGGCATTTGGGACTTGTGTGCAAAGTTTTGTTGGAATCCGAGTTGGTTAGGCTTGAATCGGACGCTTGGTTGCAAGTTAGAAGTTCTTGATTTTAAGAGAGTAATTTTTATCGTCAATTCTGGGTTTTGATGTTATTTGTGGTGTTTCGAGTCGGTGGACAAGTTTGGAAGGTATTGGGAATTGTTGCCACGACTGGACGGGGTCTCGGAGGGCTTGGGTGTAATTCGGGGTGGTTTTGGATCATTTTCCCTTTGTTTGGAGTTGCTGGTTTTCAGTAGTGATTCGCAATCGTGGAGAAGGTGGAGTTGGAAAATAGGGTTTCTTCTTTGCATTCACAAGGATGGGACGCGCTCGCGATGTAGTGGCGCCAGGCAGGAGGATTGCCTACGCGATTGCGGAGAGGGTCCTGTGTTCATGTAGGCTTATTAGGGGTAGTGCACCGCATGTTTATGTGGTTACCTTTGTGTTTCCCACTTTGCATGTTACTATTATAGCTATATTTTTACCTTGTTCGTTACTATTACTCCTATGCTTTTACTTGATTTATTGTTGCTACATGTCCTCTTCGAATTCATACCTTTACTTGTTATTAGCTCGTACATGTTACATGCCTCTATTTGTTGCGTGATTTGCTTATTAGATGTCTTGACCTGTTACATACCTTCACTTACTACCTACCTTTACTTGCTATATGCCTTTACTTGTTTCATGCCTCCACTTGTTATATGATTTCACTTATTACACACCTCTACTTGATATATATTTTTATGTGACGTACATCCTTCCTCGTTTCATGTTCTACACTTCTTTGCTTAGCCAGATTGAGTAACTTTTAGATTGGTTGTGTGTTATGCTTTGTGGAAGCTTTGTCTAATATGTGGGAGACTAACTCTGGGAGGTTGTGTTGCTCATCTTACTTGGTTTGAGTTTATATTCCCTAGTTCAATTCCGCATGTTCGTTTTCTTGGTGTTACGTTGTGAACTTTCCAGTGCTTGGTTGTTGTTGAACGATTTCATATGAACGGTATATATATGTTTGTATTGATATTGGGATAGTTGCATGCCGAAACAATATTTATTGATATTGGGATAACAGTGTTTATTGAGATTGAGATCGGGTTACATGTCGCAACGGTATTTGTTTGTGATGTTTGATTATGATCTTTGCGCTTACTTCATGATTATTGTTTCCTTTGTAGAAATGATTAAAAGATTACATCTTGTTTACCATGTCTGTTAACTTGCTCCATAGCTCCCTGGTTGATGCTCTTACCATTATTCGACATATCTCTTGCCTTGTTTTTCCTGCTTATTAGGTACATAGTAAGTGGGTGTTTTTAACTTATAACCTCAACAATACTTCATCAAGGTTAATCATGATACTTACTGAGTACATGGAGTCGGTTGTACTCATACTACACTTCTGCATATTGCGTGCAGATCGTGCAGATCTTGGAGCTATATAGCAGTGGAAGACGAAGCATTGGATTGAAGGCGTACCCGCGTTCCATATTCAATTTACTTCTTGTTCATGGTAGTTTATGATTTAAGTTCTGTTTATGTAAACTTCAAAAATATATTGTATTTAATCTTCATATCGGTTTTGTAAATCTAAATCATAGTGGCTCATTTACTTGTACTATCAATCCTTGGGGTAGTTCTACCGATTTCGGTTGCGGTTTCTATATATATATATATATGTGTGTGTGTGTGTGTGTGTGTGTGTGTGTGTGATCGATTTGATAAGTTAGCTTGGTCGATTAGCGAAAGTTTTTAAGAAGATCTCTTAAGGTTGGCACTATGATCCCTCCGGATCTACACTATAAGCAGTTTTGCTGAGAAAAGTGGATATGATAATTCTCAGTTGACTTATAGATGGTTATTTATAACTTTTGGGTCATCCTAAAGAACAACTTCTTAAGTAATAATTAGATTAAATTATTATAAATAAGAGAAGACATATATTCATATATTTGATTTTCATATCTAACTTTTCTATATAATATTGTGTTAAGAACTAAAATATTATCCTTATGGAACCCAATGGTTTCTTGAACCAAGAACATGAAGCATTAAAGTTATTATCATTAGTTTTGTTGTAATTACTTGCAAATCTAAGCCATGTCTTTCTTCCACCCTTTCTCCTCCCCTTCAAAAAATTCCTTATCTTCTCCAACTTTTTCATGTTCCTCCTCCTCATCCTCCTCCAATCCCAAACTCAAAGAAGAAATTAGCTTTTCTGATTTGCAACAATCAATTGATGACTAGAACAGTCCACAATTTACAAGTCTTCATGATGGCTGTTAGTTTCTGTGCGTCCACCAGGCTGTATAGAGAATCGGGTTCTCTGTCTGTTTCCTCTGAAAATACTGATGGACCAAACTATATAACGATCTGGTCCTATATTAGTTTGGTACAGTGCTAAGTTTGTGTGAATCCATCAAATAGTAGAGTACCTGGTCCCTTATCGGGTTCTGCTGTGAATGCAGGTAAAGCTGAATGTAAATAAGGCAGAGGATTTTTACGTGGAAAAATTGCACACAAGGGGATCAAACAACCACGACCTACACCTGTAGGCTTTTCACTTCACTAACTTGCAATCTCCCTATTACAATCCACTTTACAATAACCCTGTTGCAAAGACTTTAACTAACGTGTGATGCTCTCATCACAAGCCACTCTATAACTATTCTAGTTACAAAGAATTTGACTAACCTGTGGTATTTCTACCACAAGCCACTTTGTCACACTACGGTTACAAAGGCTTTGACTAACTTGTGATGTTTCCACCACAAGCCACTTTGTCACACTACGATTACAAAGGCTTTTGCTTATGACTAATCCTAGCCACAACATAAATACAAAGAGTTTACGGATTTTGGTTTGTTCCTAAGACAACGCTTCTAAGAAAGTCGGATAGGAGTTACAATGAAGAACACGTAACAAAGACTCAACAACCCTAAGGACTTAAGATACCATCAATCTTGGATCAGGTCCTTGAGGCTGCAGCAGCTTTGTTCTTGAGAGAGGTTCTTGAGCACTTGAGAGAATTTTCGTTTTTGTATTTCCAAGTGTTGAACCTGAATCTTATGCCTTGCATAAGGTTTGTACTACAGAAGACATCCTTAGTAATGTCCAATCTCAATGGGAAGTGACTGCTGCATTGTCTGCTGCACTGTTGCAGGCAGTCAGTTTTTGCAATTGCTTTCTAATTGTAGTTGACTTGTACTTCTGTCAGAGAACCCTAAGGGACCAGGTCCCTATTGTGTTCCTCTTTGTACAGTTGCAGACAGTCACTTTCTGTAGTTGTGTTCCAGCTGTATAGTTGACTTGTACTTCTGTAAGGGGAGCGCCAAGGGATCAGGTTCCTGATCTGGTACTTGTGCACACTGCCCAGATTGTCTTGAGTTGAGTAACTTGAATCGTTGTACTTTAGTTTATCAGAGAATGAGTGGGCGCTGGAAACAGTGCAGTGCGACAGAATCTTTGTTTCCAGCTGTGTCCAATTGACTTTGTACTGTCGTGAGGAGCCCATAAGAGTATTAGGTCCTTGTCTGGGTTCCTACCTCCTGAAGCTGTAGTAAGTTCACATTTGGATAGAATCCGTTAGATGCAGTGTAATCCAAGTGAGTCAGGTTCCCTATCTGATTCTTGACATTAAGTTTGTTAGATCATCAAAACACAAGGCAAAGATATTGAAAACCTATCAATGGCCCTTAACCAATGATTACCATATTTCTACAATTGAGCAAACCATTCCCCTCGAATCAGATCATGAGGAAATCTAACTTTTAAACTCAAAGTCTATAGAAAAATATAGGCGAAAATACAATTATCTTCATTTTGGTTTAGTACAAATTGCAGCTAGACTTCTGTCCAGGGAAGGTCTAGACACGTCTCTACTCCTCTGTCTTAGAGATTCTAGATTCTTAGACTTCAATGATTCCCTCCTAGGAATGGTAGAAACCATTCTTTGTACCGGTCCAATTTACTTTGATTGTTTTCCTAATTTTACGATGTCTCTTAGAGATAGAAATATCTTAGATTCTTTAACTCTTAATGTTAAAACAGCTAATTATAAAACCAAAACGGGATCCTTACCAGTAGCAATTATTTATAGAATATAGTATAAAGCCATGAGTTCAGCCTTTAATACTGGAGCCATGAAAACCCTCCATAAAGGTGAAATTGTTCTTTTTAAAACAGATCTACAAAGATCTCATCTGTCAATACCAAAACCCATTTCTTGGAGTGAAGTTTCTCTACCAGAAAACTAGTCACTACAAAATGCTACTCAAGCTGAGAAACCGAAAAATAATATGGTCTCTCAGATCCAACAATATTCTAGCGGACCTGTAGCCATTTTCAATAAGTTATGCAAATACTTCAGTAATAGCTAATCCTTTCAAATTAAAAAACTAAAATAAAGCTATTATAGGCAAAGATATTAAAAATATTTTTGAACAAAATAATTACACAAATAAATATTTACAATCTTTTGGTGAATATTTAGTTACAAAACCACCTTCAGCATCTACTAGTTCTAAGCCAGCAGAAACTTCCACTTCTTCAATCCTTTTGTTTAAACCTTATGAGATCCCTAGAACTTTCGCTACTGAACTTCGGATCCACCAAGCTAAAGACTATCCTCAGTTCTCTGACCTTCAACGTAGAATCCTAGAAATTGAGAAAATCCTGATAGCTCAGGATACCCCAACTAACGATTCCTCTATACAGGTTCTCCGAGAAGTCGATTCTGACCAAGAAACCAATTCGCAGTCAGAACAATTTCATGACAATCCTCCCCTAGAAATTTTCCCTATTAGAACAGGATCCTTCAACTGGCATCAACCCCAAAGACTTTACTATTCTAGAGCTACCCATCCGGATGTAGCCTTAGAAGAGAGACCCAATGTTATGCAAAACAATTATAATGCCAATAATATCCATGAATAGAACATAGATGGTTGTTCTGAATACAATATTTTGGCCAAATTACAGCAATGACTATGATAGCCACTGCATACCGAGCTTCTCATAACTGTTCTGACCAGCATTCTACCCATGTCTTAGTATCAAGTTTCACAGGTCAACTTAAAGTATGGTGGGATACCCATCTTAGCGAAGAAGATAAGAACCAAATTCTCTTAAGTTCCGAGTTGATTCAACGGGAGAACCAATTTTTAAGGATGGCCTTACCATTCTTGATTCAACCAACACCTTGATTCATAGGTAGTCCATGTATCTTTAGGGAAAGATCTTCCGAGATACTTAACAACTTTAAGTATAAAACCCGTTTAGATTTCAAATGGTATAAAGATTCCTTTCTTATCCGAATCTACGAAAAACCTAATGGAAATCTCCCATATTGGAAAGAAAAATTCCTAGAGGAACTCTAAAATCAACGTTCTGGTGATGTTATTCCTTACGAACAAATCACCTATGGCCAACTTGCCAGTCTCATTCAACATGTCTCTCTCAAAATCTGTCGACATGATAAGATATTGAGACAATTAGCCAAAGATAGAACACAGGCTCGTCGAGATCTAGGTAGTTTCTGTGAACAATTTGGTTTACCACCTTGTAGTAAAAACCCTCATAAGACACGAAAAAACAAGGATATTGAGATTACGAAATATAGGTCTTCTGCACCTAAGTTTAGGAAGACCAAATCGCTTCCTTCTAAATCCAAAACCTTTCTCGGTAAACATAAACCAACAAACTTCCAAACTCCCAATTCTGGCAAATATTTCAAGTGCAACAAACCAGGTCATATAGACAAATACTACAAGTTGTCTAACGAAGTTAAAAATCTTGATTTAAATGAGTCTGTTCTTAACCAAGTCGAACAACTATTATTAGAATATAGTGACATTTCTGATGTTGCTGATGATGAACTTGAACATAATGATGAGCCAACTCAAAGATGATGACACAAAATCATCTTCACCCTAGTCTAGTCAAGAAGAACCTGCGATTAATGTTCTCTCCAAAGAACAAGATCTTCTTCTTGAAATAATAAGCAATCTCCAAGACTCTGAGCAAAAGAGGTATTATCTCGAGCAATTCAAATGAACAATAGATAAGCCTTCTATATCTTCCTGTAGAGTCTTTTCCAATCATCCTCAAGTTGGCAATATCTACAATATTACTGATATCGTCAGTAGATTCCCTTCCCAAAAGCCTAAATCTCCAAACTGAGATAGCATTTCTTAAGGAAGAAATTCAAGAAATTAAGGCTATACAAGAATTAGACCGTTTTGTTCTCCAACAGCTCTCTACCAAACCTGAAGAGCCCAAACTAACTGAAACTAAACTAGTTGAACAAGAAGTTTTTATCAACCACCTCTCCAGAATTTCCATAAGAAAATGACATATGAGAGTTATCCTAATTGTCAATAAGTCATTTACCTTGGATATCATTGCCTTATTTGATATAGGTGCAGATCTCAACTGCATACAAGAAGGGCTCATTCCAGCCAAATTCCTTGAAAATCCCAAAGAAGGTCTTAGGGCTGATAATGGCGGAAAACTAGGAATTAGCTTCAAACTCTCCAATGTTGAAGTTAGAACCTCCCTAGAAAATTCACCATTGTCAGCCTCAAGTTCTTTCCTATTAGTAAAAGGCCTTACTAATCCAGTTATATTAGGTACTTTCTTCATCGAGGAGCTCATACCTTTTATGGTAACAGAACAAGGAATTCTAATCAAACGTATAGGAAGTAGAACCTTTCTTCCTTTTGATAGACCTCCGATGGCAAATTTCTTGACTACCATAAAAAGTAAAGATGTACAGATCAATTTTCTCAAAGAAGAAGTAGCATTCCAAAGGTTACAATAGCAACTTCGAGATTCTTCTCTCCAATCCAAGATAAAAACTTTAGAAACCAAAATCCAAGAAGAACTTTGTGTTGATTTACCTACAGTATTTTGGAATAGCAAGAAGCACATTGTTAGGCTCCCTTACAAACCTAACTTTGATTAAAAAAACCATCCCTACAAAAGCTCATCCTATCTAAATGAATCACGAGCTAACCATTCATTGTCAAAAAGAAATAGATGATCTTCTTAAAAAACGCATCGTCTCTCCAAGCAAATCCCCTTGGAGTTGTGCTGCATTTTACGTCAACAAACACTCTGAAATTAAATGAGGTGTCCCTTGATTAGTCTTCAATTATAAACCTTTGAACAAAGCACTTCGCTAGATTAGATACCCTATTCCAAACAAAAATGATTTACTTCAAAGGATCTATGTTGCAACTATCTTTTCAAAATTTGATCTAGAATTAGAATTTTGGCAAATTCAAATAGATCCCAAAGAAAGGTATAAAACTGCTTTAACGGTACCATTTGGACAATATGAATGGAATTTAATGCCATTTGGTTTAAAAAATGCTCCTTCCGAATTTTAAAGGATAATGAATGATATTTTTAATCCTTTTTCAAAATTTATTATTGTCTATTTGATGATGTCTTAGTATTTTCTACTAGCATAGATCAATATTTTAAACATCTAAAGGTTTTCTTTAATGTTATCAAAGAAAATGGATTAGTTTTATCAAAAACTAAATATAGTTTTTTTCAAATCAACATCCGATTTCTTGGGCACAATATCGAGCAGGGAACCATTGTCCCTATTCAAAGATCCATACAATTTGCTGACAAATTTTCAGACCAAATTTTAGATAAAACTCAGCATCAAAGATTTTAGGATGTGTTAATTATGTGTCGGATTTCATTCCAAGCCTTAGCAATTTGCTAAAACCTCTCCACGATAGATTGGAAAAAACTCCACCTCCGTGGACTTTAGTCCACACCAACGTTATCAAAGAAATCAAATTGAAAGTCAAGGACCTTCTTGCTTATCTCTTCCTGATCCTTCTGCATTCAAAATAGTCGAGACTGATGTATCAGACATTGGTTATGGTGGCATTTTAAAGCAGAAAAAATATGACAAGAAACAAATTATTGCATTTGCATCAAAATATTTGAATAATTCCCAACAAAATTATCCTACAATTAAAAAAGAATTTTTAGCAATTGTTTTGTACATTTCTAAATTTCAAGATGATTTATTAAATCAAAAGTTTTTGTTAAGAATTGATTTAAAGCTGCAAAAGCTGTTTTACAAAAGGATGTACAAAATCATGCTTAGACATATATTGTCTAGATGACAAGCTATTTTATCTATTTTTTATTTTGATATAGAATATATCAAAGGGATCTCAAATTGTATTCCAGATTTTCTTACCCAAGAAGTCTTACAGGGGAGATAAAATGCTAAGAAAGAAGAAATCAGAAATTTCATATCCCCCACTACCTACTCTTCCTTCGCCGAAGGAAAATATTGCTAAAGTAGCACCCAAACAGTCTGCTACAGATGTTGTTTCCAAACAACAAACCATTTCAGTTGCCTCCAAGCAACTCTCAAAAGGCGCAGCTGGACCAAGCCAGCCAAAATACAAAAAGCCATCAGACTATGCCATGAGCGGAGTCCCCCAAATTCATATGATAGAAAGTTCAAGACTCATTCCAATTTTCAGTCCAAGAAAATGGGCAGACCTAATTGAGGAAGAAGAATCTCAACAAGCTCGAACTCAACTAGCACATACTTTGTCTTCTCTTTAGGCAGAAGAAGAATTCATGTAATGGCACCAACTCATGGGAATTAAAGATCAAATGACCATGCCTAGCCTATTTAAAAAATAATTGAGGGATCGGTGCCAATAATATTAAAATTATTATTCCAATGTGACGGCACAAAGCCACGCATCTTCTTCCGACCCCGTGGCGGCCCAAAGTCACACAAACTCTTCACTTTATGCAACCACACAAAAGATATTGGAGGTTAAAAGCCTCATTGCAGGTACTGGATGTCTATCCAACATCCCCAAAACCATAACCAATCAAGTACTCTTTTCACCAGTGCCTCAACCTATTTTTGCAATCAAAGGCTCCTTCTCGGAGGAACCTACTTATATTAAGAATGAAAGTGTCTACCCACTCACTCAAAATGAACCAGAATTCTGGCATTCCAATCCCAAGAGGTAGCTAAGAAAATACTTAGCCCTTCAGCAAATTTCATCCAAAACACTCACAAACATACCCAAACATACTATGGGTTCTGTCACACCTCCTTTTTCCTACACTCGAAGGGCATAAGAGAGTTTTTCCAATTGAAGTGACAATCGAAACGGGATTAATTAAAATTTAGAGTCGCCACTTGGGATAATTTTATGGTATCCCAAGTCACCGGTTCAAACCTCGAATCGAGGAAAAGATTGACTATGTTTACAGTCTACAAATACAGAAATCCGGGTAAGGAATTCTGTTAACCCGGGAGAAGGTGTTAGGCACTCCCGAGTTCCGTGGTTCTAGCACGGTCGCTTTGATCATACTTGGCTTATTAAAATTACTGATTTTAGAACCTATGCATTTATCTCTTAACCGCTTTTATTTACTTGACTATTCGTAATTATAGAATCATCTTGAAGCGAGTCACGCGTACGTATACTCATTTTATTTAGTGCGCTAAAAATCATGTCACGCGAACGTGTCCATAATTAATAACGCTTTGTTTATTTTTATTAACAAAAGTTTGTTTGAAGTTGCGCGAACGCATACCTCGAATCTTTTAAGAATTAAATTTGTAATTATATTACGCGAACGTATATATAATCGCAATACTAATCTAAATCGGGCCTAAAGCAAACTACGATTGTTTAAATTAATAACTAAATTACATGGGCCATGGAAAGTTTAATGACGGCACACCTCGATTTATTTTAAAAGATTTGTACTAAATTAAAGCAAACTAAGGATATTCATATTTAAAACTATCTTGAAGTTCAACATAGAGTTACTAATTATATACGTGCTTGGGGTAGAAAAGATGAACCGAGTGCTTAACACCTCACTTTCAAACCTCATAGAGCCAAAAATGAAATCATCACAAATTTCCATTAAAATCAGACATATATGCAGCGTGAAATACCGAAGAAGGGAATGACATTTAGAGAGCAAAGCAATTGGCACAACCAGTAGGCTTCCTTAATCCCATATCATTGATGATGTTTCCATTTGAACTAGAAGCAATTTAATTACGGCATGGGGAATTAATTATAGCTAACAAAACCTTCCTCTCACTTTAATTTCACCAAAACACTTACCTACAAAGAGAGTCTTTAACCATAACTCAATTCAAAGAAATATTCTGAGCACTAACGTATTACATCTGGGACCTTCCCAAAATCATCACATAGCTAATATTTTTTTAAAAAACATGTGATAAATATCACTTTCAAATCATTTTACTCATTTAATATAAAGAGACACTGTGAGGAACCATCACCATACCATGAAAGAGAAAGTTATGAAAGTTAATTCCAAATCAATGAACATGAGATATGTTTCACACAGTTAATCTATTCATGAGCTCAAACCAGATCATGGAGATTTCGACTAAGCAAATGATTTAAAAACAAATAAAATCACTATTTCGGCACATATGAAAACATCTCAGTTGATAGAGGTGAATTTCCTACACATAGTCCATATTATAACAAAATTGAAAGTAGATATCAATGTTTCGGCGTTTTAGCAATCTGATGCAGGTACACACAAAATGCAGAGATCTGAACCTCAAGGTTAAGAACACAAACACAACTACACTGAACCACAGCAAAGAACCAGCGATTACATCAAGCTAAACTCATGGCATCCATAATCGAAATTAAAAGGGAACAGAATTCCAATTTATTATGTTTACATAAAACGAGTTCAATATTTGAAATTTCAGAACATACCTAGACGCGGACGAAAACAGTAGAACTTCAAAATTGAATAGCAGCGAGCAGGGCAAAATTCTCGTCACTTTTACACAATAGACATCCAGAAATTCTGAGAAAAGCAATTCGAAAACCAGTAGTAACCAACTTGAGCAATTTTGGACTCCTTTTTTTGATTGTTTTTGTACTTTTTAAATTCCAATCCCATTTATGTAAGCTCTTAAGTGCATGTGTTTCAGGTGAGAGTGAGAGATGGGTGTGAGAGTCAGAGATGTGGCTGGCGGAGATGTGAAGAGACGTGGTGCCACTGTCCTCGTGTTTCCGGCGAGTTCGCCGATGATGGGAGCGGGGTTGTTGAAGTGACCGGAGGTGTTGAGAGGAAGGAGTTTTGTTCTCTTGTGAAGAAGGTAGGGAGCAGCGTCGCGTCTCTCAAAAATGGGGGAGGGTCCTTCTCTCCGAATGTCCTCCTTCTGTCATTTTCAGCCCCCTTAAATGGGCATTTAATTAGTGCAATTTCTACTACAACTTATCTTCTCCATATTTTAAACCCAAATCAAATAAGAAAAACTCAAAATATTTTGGTCCCCTCCTTTTCCCCGAAAATCCTCCTTATCTCTCAAAGTATTGTTCCCCACTTTCTCTTTTTCTATTCTTTTTTTTTCATATCTATATCGTGTGTGTATATATCTTGCACAAAAAACAAAAGATAGGAAGAATTGTGTGAACCACATGTGCTTGTACTATTGTCCATTCATGTGTACTGTATTTTAAATTAAATATGTATGTTTGGAATGTGTGGACCCCTCTAGATTGTTGTTGGAATATTTCCACAAACACACGAAGATAACTTGGAAAGGAACACTTCGAAATTTCATTTCCTAGCATTTCTGCTTTGTGCTTCGTTCCTCTTTTTTCAATTTTCATTGTTTTTCTTATTTTGTTTCGTCTCTTTTTTTATTTTATTTATTTTTTGGTTAAAGATAGACCAACATACTAATTATTTAAATAGTAAGAAATAATTAAAAATGAAAATAAAATAGCCATAAAGAATTTTAAAAACTACTCAATACTTATTAAAGGCTTTCAATTTTAAACTAAACTAAGTGTATATATTTGAAATCCTGCTTTTAATCTTTTTGGAAATTAAAATGCAAAGACTATTTTTATATTTTTCAATTTTATGAAAAGTAAGAAAACATTAAAAGCTTGATATTAAAACCCAATTAGCTAAAATAATATTAATTAACTTTAAATAATAATTATCATAAATAATTAAATACTAAATTAAAAGAAAAATCACACAATTTAGCTAAAAATACAAAAATATGTTATTTTTGTGAATTTTCATTTTTGTAAAACAACAATTTACTTAATTAATCTAAAAATGTAAAACTAAATTCTAAATGTAGATNAAATGCAGATGCTATATTTTGTATTTTCAATGCATTAATAAAATTAAATATGCACAAAATATGCAAACACTCAAGCAAATTGCACAGTAATTCCTAATAAAAAAAATCTAATTTTGGAAATTCTTTTTGGAGTAATTCATGTGAGGCAAAAATCACGTGCTCACAGCTGCCCCTCTTTGTCCGGAAACACGAAAAGTTTTCGTGCAAAGATAAAGTGGGCGGATACGAGCGATTTTTGCTTGTTTGAATACTCCGTGGAAAGCATTTTTTGAAAGATTTGACCGAACCTCTGCTTCAAAGGTTTCCTACATATCATTGGCTATAAAGGAATTAGGTCAATGTAGTTCGGGAAGTTTTGGTAGCTGGGACTACCATGAAGCTGCGGTTTTACTACTACTGTTGTTGTTGTTGCTAATACTGCCTACTGACCTCCTTATTACACCATGACAAAAAATGAAGAAGCTAGACTAAGCTATAATCTATGCTTTACAAAGATTTATTTTCAAAATTGATCTTGTGACTGATGTTGCCTCGTTGATTTGTATTTTCCTTAGAAGTTCCTTTGTGGCTGACTTGAATGGTATTTTTTTTAAATGCTTTCCATTCTTCTCCAGGCGGGCACCTGATTGCTGAACCTTTTAAATGTCTTCCTTTGACTATTGTTTCCTTTTCTCTGTTCTCCAGGCGGGCTCCTGATTATTTGAAATTTGAATTGTATTCCCTTGCTCTCCAGGTAGGTGCCTGATTGCCGAAACTTGAAGTGTATTCCCTTGCTCTCCAGGTGGGCGCCTGACTGCTGAAGCTTGAATTGCATTTCCTTGTTCTTTAGGTGGGCTCTTGACTGCTGAAACTTGAAATGTATTCCCTTGTTCTCCCGATGGGCTCCTGATTGCTGAAACTTAAATGTATTCTCTTGTTCTCCAGGTGGGCTCCTGACTGTTGAAGCTTGAATTGCTTTCCCTTGTTCTTCAAGTGGGCTCCTGACTGCTGAAACTTGAAATGTATTCCCTTATTCTCCAGGTGGGCTCATGATTGCTGAAACTTGAAATGTATTCCCTTGTTCTCCAGGTGGGCTCCTGATTGCTGAAACTTGAATGTATTCCCTTGTTCTCCAGGTGGACTCCTGACTTCAACAAAATAGACAAAACAAAGAAAATTTTCTGCCCCAGTTTGGTAGCTGGGCACATATGTGAACGTTAACCCGCCTCATATTACCAAATATCAATAAGAACTTGAGGGCTGAAACTGGAATTGTACTCCCTTACTTTCCAGGTGGGTGCCTGATTGCTGAAACTTGAACCGTTATTCCTTGTTCTCCAGGTGGACGCCTGATTGCTGAATCTTCAACTGTTGTTCCTTGTTCTCCAGGTGGACGCCTGATTGCTGATATTTGAACTGCTTTTCCTTGTTCTCCAGGTGGATGCCTGACCGCTGAATCTTTAACTGCTTTTCCTTTGGCTTGTTTTCCCTTGTTCCTCCAAATGGGTACCTGATTACCAATACTTGTGCCAATCTTCCTTGAAACTTGATTTGTTTTCCCTTGTTCTCCAGGTGGGCTCCTGATTACTTGATCCTAAACTGTTTTTAATCCTTAACATCCGTGTTGTTCTTCCCTCTTCTTTAGATGCGCACCTGACTTCAACAAAATAGACAAAACAAAGAAATATTTCTCCCCCAGTTTGGTAGCTGGGCACATATGTGAGGGTAAACTGAATCATGTTACCAAATATTACTAAGAATTTGAAAGTTAGGTCCCATTATACAGGGAGGTCCTGACAACTCTTAACTACGACAATTTCAAATCTAAGTTATATTTTCTAAAGGTGTGACTTCCGCTAAATCTTGTTATCTAAGAGGGTCTTAAACTATTCCCCATTATCCATGAGGGTCCTGAAAATCGAAAGTCAAGTTTTATCCAAAGAGTGACGTTTCTTGACAGCTGAACTATATTACTCTATAACATAACTTACGCTAAATGTCGTTATCTAATGGCAATCTTAAAACTAGGTCCCATTATTCAGGAAGGTCCTGACAACTCTTAATTAAACGACAATTTTTAATCTAAATTATATCTTCTAAAGGTATTACTTCCGCTACATCTTGTTATCTAACATCAATCTTAAAGCTAGGTCCCATTATTCAGGAGGGTCCTGAAAACTCCTAATTGAATCCTATCTCCAACATGCAAACTTTAAAATCATCTTATATTCCTTGGGGTATATTTATGCTAGATTTTACTACTCATGACTGTTTTAAATTTTAAACTAGGTCCCATTTTCCAGGAGGGTCCTGAAAATTCTACGATCAAACCTGCATGGTACTTGCTTTCCTTATAGGGTGCTTCCTGAAACAAATGCCATCTTTGCCCTTGTTTCAAATCAAAGAAAATCTTGTCAGTTTAAAATGTGGCTATTAGTTGTGGAATTCTTGCTGGGGGTGGTTTTCTCTTTTCTAGGCTTTGCTTCGTTCCGACTGCCTTGAACATGGTCAAAGGATTGTTTTGACCTTATGACTGATCCTTAACTGCAGGATCCCCAACTATTATTCTTCATTTCTGACCTTTCTGTCTGAACTCGTATATATCCCATGACATTACTGAACCATTCCACCGATTCAACTTTTGCTTACACCCTATGTCTCATTTTTCATCATATTATCTCTGGCATGTCCTAACCGCATCTTGCTTTGTGCAATTTCGAAACTGGTAGTAAACTTTGAAATTCCTTCTTATTTGTTGAAACAAGCTAACCTTGGAAGAACTTTAGAGGAGTAAAAATTAACAGCAATGAAATGCGACGATTTTGAGAATTAAGAATAAAGAAGAAAGTCCAAATTTGGATGACTGTTGGAGATAGGAAAAAGGAACTTATCTAAGTGGAGTCACTAGCACCAATAATCATGGTATGCATTTTGGATTAATCAGCCCAGTCTATTCAATCTCTTTTCCAATTGTTTTACTTTGTTCTCCAAGATTTCCACAACCCAATTTTACTTTCTGCCAAATTACGGACCTTGTTCGACTTGCAGTGCCCTGAAGGGTTTTCACCGACAAACCTCTCTCATTTGTTTGTTCCTAAATTCCTTGCCGCCTTATGGTGCCCGCGAAGGTTTTCACCGATAAGACTCTCTCATTTTTACTTTCTCTCAGCTTTCATCGCCTCATGGTGCCCGTGAGGGTTTTCACCTATAAGACTCTCTCATTTTCATTACTTTCCTGCTTGGACCAGAGTGTTATCCTGATATGAATCACCTCTATTTTCTCAAATTGGCATCTCTCGAAGACTGATTGGAAGGTCTTTCTTCGGACCGTAATGTGGGCTTTTGGATGGGGTTAGAAAGAAAGGGTATCAAAGGCTCAAAATAATTTGACAGGGGTTTAAAATTACAATTCTTGGAATCACATTTCTTAGTACAAGTACAACTTCTACCCCAGTTTCTTGCTTGGGTATCTTTTGATATTTTATTTTACTATGACCGAGCCGTGAGGCTACCTACGTATCCTTAACAGGAATCAGGTCAAAGATAGTTCACACCTGAATTTCCTTGTTGTTATACTTTCTCTTTTCACTTCTTTTCTTTTCTCTTTTCTCTTTTTCTTTCTTTTCCTTTTCTTTTTATTATTGATTCCAAAAGAGGGGTATGAAGGAAACAAATGCGGCTCAAAAGGGGGAACAAAGGGTAGAGTGTTTAGATAGCAGAACAAATTGCCTTCGTCATTTCAATCTTCGAAACAATGCCAAATACAAACAATCAACAATTATACCAAAGAAAATCATGCATAATATCTCTTTACTGAATCAGAATAGATAGCCATGTCTATGCATTTTCCTTCAATATCTGTTAAACATAAAACACCATTGGACAATACTCTGGTCACAATGAGCCCTTGCCAATTTGGGGCGAACTTGCCTTTTGCTTCAGCCTGGTGTGGAAGAATACGTTTCAGCACTTGCTGACCTACTTCAAACTTTCGGGGACGCACCCTTTTGTTGTATGCTCTTGCCATTCTCTTTTGATATAACTGGCCATGACATACTGCTGCCAATCGTTTTTCATCAATCAAGTTCAACTGCTCCAAACGGGTTTTGA